TGGTATGTGCATTCCACACAGCCACTACATTTCTAAGACATGATTGTTATGTGGGGAAGTGACATTGGCAAAGAAGAAAACAATATGTTCAGCGATCAAAATTCTGACTGTTTCTGGCTCTGTTTGTGCCATCGTCTATAGCTTTTTCAATAATATGGATTTTGTTAACCTATTACCCCTAATTATTCATCTTTCCAAAAGTGTTTTCCACCATAAAGCAAAGCTTTGGTCCAACAGCCCAGATATGTTGTTCAGCACCAATTAAGTTTATTTCCTATTTTTCATCCATGAGCTTCATTGGACTGACCTGCAATTTGGATTTATTTTCCAAATGTGCTTTAGAACACACAGGAGTGTAAATATGGCACCTGATTGCAGTCCATAAAGGAACAAAGTATTTTTCTGGGAATATGGACAACCCAGGAAAAGATGAAGCTGTTTTAAGGTGTTGCAAATATGCTTCTGCATCATCCAAAGCAGATTTTGGAGATTAAATCCAAAAGTATGTCTGTTGGAAATAAATAGTATTCCAAAAATCCCACTTAGAGGTCTATGTATCACTCTCTCATTGTCTTCCAGATGAAATTATCTCTTCAGAAATGTTCAAGTAAGAGGCTGAGAACCTCCAGCTGCAAAGCCCCATGTGACTCTAATACTGTAAAAATGTTCATTGCTGAAGGTGATCATGGGGTATACAGGTTATAAACAAGAAATTTAGATTCAAGTATGAGAAAGTAATGGGGAAAGATGGTGGTTAGAGATCTGTAGGCCTAGAAACCCCCCCAAGATTTCCTTATTGTTTTTGTTTTGTTTTCTGAACAAGTGAGAAAAAATATTGTGACTTCCTAATATTTCTTTTAACTTTTTAACCTGTCTCCTTCTCTCCTTTTCTCTCTAAGAAAAAAAGGAGATATTATAATACATTCTTTAAAATTCAGCACTTTAGGCAAAATACACACCCACACTCACGCCCATGCACACATTCATCTACACAAACACACACACAGAAGAAAATAAATATATTTATATTTTTATTGGAATAACATTTTTTTTCAATTTTAAATACAGTTGTTTTAGTAAGAAAGGGACCAGATTGAAACTTTTTAAAAATAATATTACATATATTTTAATTTTCCACAAAATACCTATTCATTTCTGAAAAACAAAACCCTTTTTTATTGCTGGTAGTTTGACATTTCCTAAATTTATGAGATCTTTTAGGAAAGTCTCCAGATTTATCAGCCTTTCGTTCTTAGACTTACTTTCGAAAGCAGTCTTAATATTCTATAAATGCTCTAGTGCTGGATATATATGTATATGTCTGTGTGTGTGTGTGTGTATGTGTGTGTATGTGTGTTGGAATTGAGAACTGTATATATGTTGTACAAGAATTAATACTCCTCCCCTCCTTTTTCATAGCTCTCCCTAGTGGTGCTTGCTAAATGATGGCAAAATCTTGTTTTTGCTTAGTTGCCTTTCTTTTTTTTCTTCTTTTTATTTACTAACTAGAGAGAGTAGTACATTTGACATTCAGTTTAGAGGCTGGGGTCAGAAAGGTTAATTCCTTCTGACAATCCAATGTCCACATTCCAAACTATTTTCTGTGATTCCCTGTGGTTGCCTCACAACTGGGAAAAAAAAAAGTGTGTTCACTTTTCTTCTCCTTGGGTTACTTTTGAATTTGATCTGGTTCCTTCTTCTGATATGCACTAATCGTAATTCACAAAAACCTTCATGAATAGGACAAAGAGTACCCAGCACATGATCATCCATTAACTACAATTAAATGTCTGTAATGTTGCCTGTGCAATCTCCCATTCCCACACCTATTGCATCTGCTAGAAAATATTCAAGAAATAGAGATCTCTCATATTTTTCAACTTCACAGATGATAATAAATAAATATATTTATTTCATTAATAGATCAATTGACACAAACTACACTTCAGTTGGAAATCTCTGGGCTTATCCACATTGCTGCTTTTACCATATCTTCATCCTAGCCTGGAGTGAGAGGATCTCCTGTCACCCTAAATCTATCTGCCACCAAAGCATTCTGTGCATACAGGGTGGAACTCTGCTGCCCTGCTCTCCATACAGCTATATCTTCCTTAATATAACGACAGCAGTGATTGGTGTATCCCTGATATAATTCAAATTTATCCAACTGTGAGAAAAAAGTTGACTAGTCATATAAAATGAGTGTCAGAGGCTATACATAATGAGTACCAGATAGTAGCAAACAGCTTGTTTTACTTGATTGAAGCATAGTGGTTGCATGGATTCATGCTGTCCAAATGCAACCAATACATAAGTGGTCTTGGGGTCAGGACATTTTAAATTGTGCCGAGCTCTCAGTTGCATCTATGTTTCCCCCCCACCCTCCAAAAGGATTGTTCGCGGTCAGCTGGTTGACCTATAGCTTTCTATATGGCACAAAATAGAGGTTTTTGGTAATGCTTTATTGTCATCTAATTGATTTGTGCAGTTGAGATGCAGCCTCTAAGTGTTGTTGAAGAATTGGAGTTTGAAACATAGTCTCCATAGTTTATTTATAGGTTGCTAAGTTGATCTAGCCCTTAAAATACAGTGATTCAAGCAAGTGTGAAGCCAGCTTTTGATTACCCCCTTGATGGAGTAATAGAAAATGCTGTGTCCAACCTCCATTCCCAGTGCATACAGAAAGTCCCCCAAGCTAATCTATCAATCACATGGCATGAACCCAACTAATATTCAATAGTAGGAGTGGGGAATTTTCAGCTCTTCAAGGTAGTCCAGACAGGAAATCAAACTCATGAGTACTAATTTTACCTTTATTGTAGAGTTACAAGGGGTTTGAAGTCAGAAAGCACTTCTCCCCTCCCTTGTCTTTACCTTCCAGACTAAGGAGGGTCCTTTCTGAGATGGTTTCCCTGCCCACATTTCTTCTGTGGGCTGATATACAGTATCTTTTGTCTGACCAGGTCAGCCTTCCTAGGTAGACCAGACAGGAAACACAACCAGCTGAGCTAATTCTACTTTATTGTAAGGCTACCTTAACAGAATCTTGCAAGTCTGAAAGTACAATTCTCCCCATCTCCTTTACACACTGAGAAATTAGGGAGGGTCTCTTCTAAGACTTTTGCCCCACCCACTATCCAGCCACGGGCTATGCTCTCTCTTATCTGACTGTTCCCTAGGCAGCTTCCCGGGCCTAGTCTCAAAAGGTCATCCCCACATACCATTACAGACCATTGTCCTGTCTGTAGCTCTTCTTTCTGTCTCCCAAGATTATTCTCAAAGGAATGTGCAGTATCCATCTGTCATGTGCTTTTGATTGCATGGCTGTAGTTTAAGGTAGTTAAGAATAAAGGGAAGGGAAGGGAAGGGAAGGGAAGGGAAGGGAAGGGAAGGGAAGGGAAGGGAGGGGATAGGGGGTATATCAGCAATGTGAACATCCTGAATCTTGACTGCAATACTCAATAGTTGGTACATATAACACTTGTTTTTGAAGTGAATGCATTTATTCTTCCAGTTAGATGATAAGTAAGACCTAGGTATATAAATAAGTATGTTATGGGAAAATAATGCAAGCAGACCCTAGAGAGAGAAAGAGGGACAAAGAGAGACAAAGAGAAAGCACACTAAAACTAAGGATATTTTCTTTGGTGGTGTTGGAAAAAGAGAGCATTGTGCTGCAGCAAAGGCTAAATAGATTTACAGCTCAAAGCTCTGATGAAATACAGTGGGGAGGCTGATTCATAAATGAATTTTCAACTATAAAATCCTTTGCATCATTATATGAATTTGCATCCAAAATTTCTTAGCTTTTTCACAAGTCCACTATGCATGATAAAATGTCCCCTCATGTTTTTAATAATTTCTCTGGTATCATATAGCAATGGTACATCATTTCATACATACATACATACATACATACATACATACATACATACATATGAAATGATGCACCATTGCTATATGACACCAGGGAAATTATATTATAATATATAATTATATTACAATATACAGTGTGTGTGTGTGTGTGTGTATTACACAATGTAAATTTAATACCAGTTACCCACATTCTCTCCCAAGTGTCTATCTCTATGTTATATCCAAAATTAATAGCCCATTTTGTCACAGTCTTTAATCTGTTCTTCTTTTGTTTCAAATCGTAAAAGTTTATACATTTTTGCTATTACATGTACATCATTTGTACATAATTCAATTTCACATTCTGCTTTATATTTTTCAGTTCCAATTATCGTTTTTTCCATATTAAACCTTTCTTTTAACTGCATATGAAAGCCATTGAAAGCTATATCCTTCTGCAGTCAGAAAAAACCTTTCTGGTTAATGTTGTGTGATATCAGCAAAACTGTTGTGTTAGAGATTTATCCAATGTAAGGGATCCTCAGTCTTTTTCTTCAGCACCTTCTTAGAGTAAGAGATCTCCGGAGCAGTTAGCTGCCCTGAAACCTCCCCCTCAAACAAACAAACAAACAAACAATCTGAGTTATTCTCCTGAAAGGCCTTTAGAATAAGAAAGGATAAGATAGACAACCATTGTCTGTGGTGGAGGATTGAGGAGATCTTCAGCACAGCAGGAAAGACACAAACATGAGGTGTCAAGATAAGAGCAAAAAACTTCACACTGAGAACCAAAACAAAGTTGAATAATTTTAGAATTACACCGAAGATATCTTTTGTCAGTGAAGAATATCAGACAAAAACTGTTTAATATTAATGGATCAACCAAGGCTGAACATGAAATTCAAACTAGCTCAATTTCTAATTTCAAATGCTAAAAAGGGAGAGAGAGAAAGTGGGAAGTGAGGTTGGGGAGAAAGAAGCCAGGCAGACTAGCTGGCCAATATTCTACATATTGGACTCTTGAAGAACTGTCTGTCAACCAATAAACACATTTCAAATTTCTAGTTTTCACCCATAGCTAATTAGCCCCAACATACCTATACAGTGATTAGCTCCTTGCATAACTCTTATAAGAATGTTTGCAATCATCCTAGGAGATATTTTAATCTGGAAGATATTTTCCAGACAGATTTTTGTATATCCTTATTCCTTAAACTGTAAATGATGGGATTTAGAACAGGTGGCAAAAGTGTATACAGACATGCAGAAACCAAGTCCACAATTGGGGTCGAAAGGGTTTTTGGAATCATATATGAAAAAGTAGCTGTGATGACAAATAAGGAAAAAACAGTCAGATGAGGAGTGCACATTGAGAATGCTTTATATCTTGCTTGAACTGAGGGAATCTTCAGCACTGCAGAAAAGATATATCCGTAAGAAGCAAACAGGAGTCCAATGCAAAATGTGACTATAATGACCCCAAGGATGAGAATGAGAATTGTGTGAACATTTGAATCAATGCAAGTCATTTTTTGCAACAGAGCCATATCACAGAAAAATTGTCCAATTTTATTGGATCCACAAAAGTTCACACTGAATGTCAGACTAGTTTCTAACACTGCATGGATCAGGCTGCTTATCCAGGCCGTAGCTGCCATCTGAATGCAAGCATTAGAATTCATGATCATATTGTATTGCAGAGGGTGGCAGATGGCTACATATCGGTCATAGGCCATGACAGTGAGCAAAAAAAGTTCTCCTCCAACAAATGTGACAACTAAAAAGACCTGTGCAACACATCCAGCAAAAGAAATCAGTTTGTTTTTTGTAACTGAAACAGCTATGGATTTAGGAACTGTAGTAGAAATATAGCAAACATCTAAAAATGAAAGGTTGGCCAGAAAGAAATACATGGGGTTGTGAAGATGATGGTCTAGAGTGACAGCTGCGATGATCAGAAGATTTCCCACTACAGCTGTTAAATAAATAGAAAGAAACATCAATAAATGCAAAATCTGTGTGTCATGGTCATCCACAAATCCAGTTAGAAGAAATTCTGTCACAATGGATTGGTTGCCCATTTCATTTATTCCAAATGTTCTGCAAAGAGTAAATTATAGAATAGTCAATGATTTCTTTCAGGAAAGGATATACATTTAGAGAAAGATACTGTTCTCCAGAATTATCAATATCCTCATCTGAGAACCATAGTTGGAATATTCTCTGAGTTTAATAAATGATATGGATTTTTTATAATCAACTCTCTTGAACTAAACTGGTTTCCCATCACACTTGTTTCTGCAAACAATGGGTGAAAGATAACAAGTGAATGCAGGATACATATTTGGGGCCAATAATATTGTTATACAGTATTTTTTAAAAAATATTCTCAGACAAGTAAATTTTGGAGTGTTTGAACATCAGTAAATATTGGTACATGTTTACTTTTAGTTCTTTTGCCCATTCCAAGTACTGTTCCACTGTTTCACTAAACAGTAAATTTACTTTGAGCATAAGTATACTTTTGAGGATTGTATTTATCTGCATTCTCCAAAATGGTATGCAGCTACTCCTAGGATTACAGTGATATGAGCATCCACAGAGAGGCCAAAGGTGGTAAGTAATGAAATATGTGTCATGACATCACCACGCAGAACCTAATTCCTGTTCTTGCACCCAATATTGGGACACATGGGTAAATGGGTGCAGTTTCAGTTGTAATATTACAAACCATATGTATTTTGTTCTTCATCATGCTTAACTCAAGTTTCCTATGTGTAAACTAATGATAGACTAAGAGCCCCTGATCTGTCGGTCTCTGTCTCTGTCTCTCTCTCTCTCTCTAATCTGTCTATCATATATCTATCTACCATCCATCCTTCCCTCACCCTTTCATCCATCAATTCAAGAAAGAAATTACTAGGACAAGTACTAAACTGTTTAAACCAGGTAAAGAGTTTTTGTATTGTATGATTAAGAATTGGCAAAGTGTACTGAAGATTTCATAATGAAAAATGTCAACATCATATGTCTCTGGTAAGAAAAAAGAAAAGAAAAGAAAAGAAAAGAAAAGAAAAGAAAAGAAAAGAAAAGAAAAGAAAATCTGATACCTAAATAAAAAAGAAATATTGATGACAGCACACTTTCTAAGCTCCGGATCTTTTCCATATGTATAACCTCCTTTTGTAAACCGTATGACAATACCCTGTAAAATCCACCCACAAAATTCTCAGATTTAAAAGGGTAGCAATTTTTTCCATACTTGCATGAGAATACATCCTGTTGAAGACAGAGCAAATCAACCATGAATAGAATGGTTCTGTAAATTAAAAGCCCCATTCCAATAGGAATCCCATTAATATCTTATATGAATATCTGCTTTATCAATTATATCATCAGACACAAATTTCAAAAATTTCAGACATTACCCTACACTGAAGAAGATATGCATCATGACGCCTTTTATTTTACCAGAAGCCATTGATCCCTTCCATAAATCTCTGGCATTACCAAAAATTTCAGTCATCTACTGCACACTTAATTAAAAGATAGCTTCTGTGCAAGTCTTCTTTTTTATGACAAGAAATTATGAGAAAGAGTTTTAAGCATATACATACATACATACATACATACATATATCCTTAACTGTCAAATGTTTAGATAAATATTACTCCTTTCTTACATAGTTACCGTTATGAATTTTAGAAATGAAACCCAGAACTTTTAAGTTTGTACTGAATGTGATTTAGAAAACTGCTCACCTCCAGTTGCAATCAGTGCTGTTAAAAGATGAAGATGCTTGTATCCCTGAGCCTGTTTTTTATTTGCCCAAAAATATACAGGAAAGAGTAGAATAAGCTAACTGTATTCCCAAGAGTGTTTCATGGAGTTGCATCATAAAGTTGTACTCATCTTTTATTTAAGTTTAAGTAGCAAGCAATCTGTGGCAGGGTGTGTTCAGCCTTAGCATCTCTCCAAATACGGCTTGTGAAATACAGCCATTCTCTCAATGCCATGTCTCCAAACATTCACTTCATAAATCTATATTCTGGGGAAAAGACAGTGGCAAAGAAGAGAATGATATTCATCATTGTCTATGGGTCTTTCAACTGCCAGGATTTGTTAACCTGTTACCCTTCTTGGCATTAGTATTTATCTTTCCTAAAATGTTTCCCACCCACAATGATACAAAGGTTTGACCCAACAGGCCTGTACTTCATCTCCCAATAAATAAATAAATAAATAAATAAATAAATAAATAAATAAATAAATAAATAAATAAATAAATTCAATTTTCTCTATATACAATGTTTATTCATCTGTGGAACTGCCAAATACATTAATCTTCCCAATCAAGCTAGATAACCTGCTGTGTTTCTCCCCCCGATTCTATTCACTCACTGTGACCAGCTAGGCATAATTATTCCTCTGTCCTGTTGCTGTTTGTTTCTTACTGCCCTTTCTCCACCTCCAGAGGTAAGGAAGGGCTTAAGAGGTGTATGTATGTTTGTGTGTGTGTTTTGTTGGGTCTTTTCTACCCAAGTTCTTCTCAAGACACTAGAGTCAGAAGTAGAGTGGTCTGTCTTCCTTCCTTCCTTCCTTCCTTCCTTCCTTCCTTCCTTCCTTCCTTCCTTCCTTCCTTCCTTCCT